CTCTAATAGGGTTAGGCTAGGACCCCTGTCAGATTTTTATTGCTTTGTGTGTATCTGTTGCACATGCCAACAGGACAGTAAATGAGGGAATATGTTGCCTCACATAGCAATATAAAACAGACAGCGGTTGTTCTACATTTTATCTAAAACTAAAAGAAGGCTTTGGCTTGACATTCACTTTTATTGAACCTTTTGCTTGGCCTTATATGGGTTCACTTTAAAATATTCCGAAAGGTAAAGTGATGAAAAATCTTGATAATTGATACACCACGATAAGAAATTCTGACAGATCTTCCAACCCTTTCTGCACAATTCAAAAATGTAAAAAAAAAATAAAGAATTGAAAAAGAGGTTTTGGCTGAAACTATGTTTTAAGGTAATCTTTATAGTAACTCAAGCTGACAGCTCACTGAAAATGTCACAGTTTTCCTTTACAATGAACATTTGTACCAAAATATTTCTTTTTTCTTTTCCTGTGTGTCTCAGTTTTATGGCTTTTTTTTCACACAGTGCTGATGCTGGCTATTAGCCCAGTCCAGTTGTATACATACTGGCAAGGTAACAGAGCTTGCATATTTGCCGACCAAGCCTGGCTGTATTTGGTACAGAGGAATTTAGGTTAATTAAAATAGTCATGTTACTTCAGCAACAGCTGAATGTGCAGAACGCAATGAAAAATGGTGTCCATGTACAAAAGGAGAAAGAAACAGTGGTAAGATTAGAGAGCTGATCGTTTAGAGAGGCCCATAATTTATTTCTTTATTTCAGGTACTTATATAGCGCCGTCAATTTACGCAGCGCTTTACATATATATGTTGTACATCCACATCAGTCCCTAACCCTTGAAGGAGTTTACAATCTAAGGTCCCTAACTCACATTCATACATACACTTACTAGGGACAATTTAGACAGGATCCAATTAACCTACCAGCATGTCTTTGGAGTGTGGGAGAAAACCGGAGTACCCGGAGGAATCCCACGCAGGCACAGGGAGAACATGCAAACTCCAGGCAGGAAGTGCTGTGGCTGGGATTCGAACCAATGACCCTAGTACTGCGAGGCGGAAGTGCTAACCATTTAGCCACTGTGCTGCCCGTCACATGAATCAGAGCAGAGTGACCATTTCAGAACAGCAATTAGATATAATAGACATTATTAAAGAGGTAATACAGGTAAGCTTATAATAAAGGGTGATTAGGAGATTTTCACTACTTCTGCATCCGATTATGTCACCAGCACATGCGCACTGTGCTCTGGAGGTAGGGCATGCCATGTCTTCAGAGGGCTGTGCCGTGGCTGTGGCTCCCATGTGCATGCACATACGTGACGTCATCGCGGCTCGGCCATTCAAGCAGCTGGAGCTTGCAAACCCAGAAAGAAGACCAGATGAAGATGGAAGCTCTGTCAGCTGCAAAAGCATGCTGCTGGATGGCTTTGTTTTAAGGTAAGTCTTTCATAATGTGCTAGTGTGTGATACATACTAGCACATTATGCCATTACCTTGCAGGGGGAAAATTTACTACCACCTAAATGATAATTTAAACTCACTGCATGTATATACATAATATGTATTACACCTTTACATGTATTTTTTCAATGCAACTAATGTAGGTACCTGGCTTTGACTTGGTGTTAGCATTTTGCATTACCTTTTACAGCAGCACTCCAATTAATATTGCTATATGCTCACCAGGAACAAGCTGGCTGGACAATAGACCAGATCATGCTTTGAAGTGACCTCATTAGTCTGCTGCTGATCCTTCATAGTTCAATCAGTGAGCTGGTGGGAAGGTTGCAGGGTAATCCTTAATTGTAAGTGGTGACATCCTCCTGACTAGGGTGTCTGGCAGAAAGGACTAAAAGGATATAAATACAAATCCTTTGTCAGGTAAAACATCTATATGTATATCACCTGTGTATATCTATTTTTTTTATTTATTTCAGGTACATATATAGCGCTTTCAATTTATGCAGCGGTTTACACACATACAGTTGTGTTCAAAATAATAGCAGTGTGTTGAAACAAGTGAATAAAGCTCAAAATCCTTCTAATAGCTTTTATTTCCATACACACAAATGCATTGGGAACACTACACATTCTATTCCAAATCAAAACATGAAGAAAAATATATCACATTTGTGTTGTTCCTCTAAATAAATTGAAGAAAAGTGAATATTAGACTGTTCAAAAAATAGCAGTGTTTGTATTCTTCTTTACAAACTCAAACATTCACTATATAAACTGAAAAATGTTTGAAGATTTTGCTTTCCTTTGAATCACTTAATTAATATTTAGTTGTATAAGCACTGTTTCTGAGAACTGCTGTACATCTGTGTTACATGGAGTCCACCAACTTCTGGCACCTGTGAACAGGTATTCCAGCCCAGGATGATTGGACTACATTCCACATTCTATTTCTTGGTTTTTTTGCTTCAGAAACTGCATTTTTGATGTCACCCACAAGTTTTCTATTGGATTAATATCCGGGGATTGGGCTGACCACTCCATAATGTCAATCTTGTTGGTCTGGAACCAAGATGTTGCACGTTTGTGTGTTTGGGGTCGTTGTCTTGTTGGAACACCCATTTCAAGGGCATTTCCTCTTCAGCATAAGGCAGCATGACCTCTTCAAGTATTCTGATGTATTCAAACTGATCCATGATCCCTGGTATGCGATAAATAGGCCCAACACCGTAGTATGAGAAACATCCCCATATCATGATGCTTGCGCAACCATGCTTCACTGTCTTCACAGTGTACTGTGGCTTGAATTCAGTGTTTGGGGTCGTCTGACAAACTGTTTCCAGCCACTAGACCCAAAAAGAACAATCTTACTTTCATCAGTCCACAAAATGTTGCACCATTTCTCTTTGGCAAATTGTAACCTCTTCAGCATGTCTTTTTTTCAATAGTGGGACTTTGCGGGGGCTTCTTGCAGATAGCTTGGCTTCACATAGGCGTCTTCTAATTGTAACAGTACTCACAGGTAACTTTAGACCTTCTTTGATCTTCCTGGAGCTGATTGTGATGGCTGAGTCCTTGCCATTTTGGCTATTCTTCTATCCATTAGAATGGTATTTTTTCACTTTCTTCCACGTCTTTCAGGTTTTGGTTGCCATTTTAAAGCATCTGCCATCATTTTAGCTGAGCAGTCTATCATTTTCTGCACTTCTTTATATGTTTTCCCCTCTCCAATCAACTTTTTAATCAAGGTACGGTGCTCTTCTGAACAATGTCTGGAACGACCCATTTTCCTCAGAATTTCAGAGAGAAATACACTGTAACCAGCATGTACAACATTTGCTGCCTTCCTTCCTTAAATAAGGGCAATAATTGCCACCTGTTTTTCAAAGAATGAATGACCTCACTAATAGAACGCCACACTGCTATTATTTTGAACATGCCCCTTTCAATTAGTGATTCAATTACACAGAATTAGCAGCATGCATGTCATGACTGTTGGGTCTGTTGGATTTGTATTACTCTACTACACCTGCTAATAAATTATTTTCCATGTAGAAATATAATTTTCTACCAAAAACAGTGATTGATCAGGTTAGTGATGTCTGACTGCTATTATTTTGAACACAACTGTATATTCACATCAGTCCCTAACACTCAAGGGGCATACAATCTAAGGTCCCTAACTTACATTCATACACACACATACTAGGGACAATTTAGACAGGATTCAATTAACCTACCAGCATGTCTTTGGAGTGTGGAAGAAAACCGGAGTACACGGAGGAAAGCTACCCAGGCAAACTCCAGGCAGGTGGTGCTGTGGCTGGGATTCAAACCAAGGACCCTACTACTGCCAGGCAGAAGTGCTAACCATTTAGCCTCTGTGCTGCCCATGTACAGTATATGTAGGAATTTGTTTCTGGTTCATATGCAAATGAGGCTACCCAAATAGTTTAAATAGTGGTCAGTGGTTAGATAGTGGTCAGATATACATACACACTTGGGGAGATTTACTAAAATTTGTGCACTCAGAATATGGTATAGTTGTGCATAGTAGCCAATCAGCTTCTAACTTCAGTTTCTTCAATTAAGCTCTGGCAATAAAACCTGGAAGCTGATTGGTTTCTCTGCAGAATTGCACCAGAACGTGCACTCTCCAGTTTTAGTAAAGAACTTCCACTCTGACAGCCCTCATGGCAGACTGTCTAAAAAGAACTGCAGTGTTCATAAGTAAACCTATATGCTCAGTTTAGCTGAGCATTCAAATTTATGTCAAAGGAGGGGGCAAAGAAGACGAGGAAATAGGAGTTTGGAGTACACTGTGGGGGACAATAGATTTCTAACCTGTGTCATCATTTTTTCCCCACAAATTAGTTGACTAGTGGCATCTGCATGCACCTATAGGCATAGTATTGAGCTCTCAAATTTCATATCTGTTGATATCTCAACAACTTGATAACAATTTCAAACTGCCTGTTGAAGAGTATTCTTAAATTGTGAGCTCAACACACAAGATACCAAAGCAGACAACAGACAGGAAGAGGAAACCATTTCTTGCAGAAGAGGTTAGTTCTGTCCTCATCACCAGGGAAACAACTGTCAAGGGATGATCTTCACCTACTTAAAGGATAGGTTCACCTTTTAGTCAAAAATGATCAATGCACATTTTTTGCAGGTTAAAAAAAATGTTAATTTATTATTTTTGTCTACAGGAGCCTGGAAAGCATTGCACCAGCGATCAGTAGATTGCTGGTGCCATGCAGGTCACCTGCAGACCTGTTAGATTATCTGCTTGCCGTACAGGATGTACGGTCCACAAAGTCCGTGAATGAATGATGCGGCCGTGTGGGCGAACCACTGCATGGCTGCACAAATTTGACAGATAGTACGAGAGGGGGGGGGGGGCGGCAGGTGGTGGCTGCAGCTATGGGAACATATTATATGTTCCACCCTAAAAAACAGGTGGAACATGTAACATGTTCCCAAAGGTGAACTTATCCTTTAACCACTTCCCGTCCGGCCTATGTACATAAACGGCTGGACGGGAGCAGTGCAGGAGCGGGTGGCCATTTATAAACAGCTTCCGCATTCACTGCCTGTGCACGATCCCTGTGAGCGCACGGCACCACAATCCGGAGCCCGCTGTGTCTGGAGGTTGTACGGGACCTCTGTGTGAGGTTCTGATTCATGTGATCACAGACTGGCCAATCAGTGATCACAGGAACAGTAGTAAACAAGATGTCACTTCCTGACATCATAGCTTACAACGTGTGAAATCTGTGAATGATCACGGAGGTCACATGGTACAAGGCTATTCACAACAGCCTTGTACCATGTGACAAGATGTGACCAATCACATCTCTCACAGTATTTCTTAATGGCTGCAAGAATGCAGCCAGAGAGAAGGAGAAATGATTGGGTACAGTGTTGCATGACCGCGCATTTGTCATTCAAAGTGTGATAGCACTGAAAGCTGAAAATTGGCCTGTACAGGAAGGGGGTGAAAGTTTCCGGAATTGAAGTGGTTAAAGAAGCAGCTTAATCTGGGCATATTGCAGAAATTAAAATTATCTAGAGGACGCCTTAGTACCCCCACAATATCCTTTGTAATTGTTGCTCTCCACAGCCTTGAAAAAAGAGAGGCCTACTTCACAGTGTGCCCAATAAACAATCTCCAACCATGAATGCTTCAATCCTATGCTTGTGATGTGAACACAGATTGATTCTGTGATTATATATTTTATATTAATGTCCTTTTAATGCAATAGATCCTGAGGAGTCTATTGAATTAGAAAGATAAAATTAAAAAGCAGCAGGGCACAAGGATTGGTCTCATTGAGCAGTGCTCTTCAGTATATGTCCTGAAGCCAAAACTATTGACAGAAACATTATTTTTCCATTTCCTCCACAAGTGGTCGAGGAGCACAACGTCAGTGAAGACCCTAATGATATTTACACTAATGACCTTATTAATTAATCATTGAGTATCAATAATAATTTTTTCATGACAATCAATACATCAACTTTGCTTTTCGTGTAATAATAATTTCTCCAAATGACTGCGTATTTAAAACATAAAGCTGTAGTTGCACAAAGTAAGGATTTTATTTCTTGTTAAACAATTTAGAATGTCTGGTTCGGTTAATTACATATATTGCCAAAAGTCCTAAAGCGGTAATAATCCCCAAAATGTATTATATTGCAGCTTACCAATTCTTAGATGTGGTGGCTGCATTCTTGTTCTTTTTTAGTCTTTTTTTCGTTTATTTTCACCTGCTTATCCGGGCAGTAAGTCTGTTATTTTTCAACTTCCTCTAAAAGGCCAAGCTATGCAGAAAAAGTGGCAGTTAGAAGGTTCAGACCAACCATTTAACACTAGCAGGGGTGCTTACAGTGTTCAGCTTTTATTCCTTTATTCAAAACCTTTATTGGAAAAGGACAAAAGATTTAACTGTTTATAAAGTGTTAGCTAGAGTTCAGCTTCAATTCATTAGTTAAGCCCATCAACTTCTGCAAAGCACATCTAGTACTACCCCTTCCCCAGATTGATAATGCTGCCGTCTATAGATGTCTCTGTTGCTCCTCCATGGAGAGTGGAGACACCCTAAGCCAGGAAGTGTGTTACTGGCCAAATTACCAGGTGAAAAAAAACTAGGAACACCTAAAAAAATGAATGCAGTTACCACATTTAAAGCAGAACTCCATTGACTGGAGTTCTGCTTTAAATGTGGTGACTGCTTTAATTTTTTTCCCATGCAGTGGGGCTGTGCCCGCAACTGCATGGATTAAGTGCTCGTTTTGTCCAGGGTATCAGGGAAAAGCTGTAATTACCCATTCCTCCAATCCTCCGGAAAACTGTGCTCCTCCACATCCAGCAGTGGACTGTTCCTCACGTCCGGAGCTGGTCTATGAGCGTGATGACGTCAGGAACAGCCCATTCATAAGGCAGGGGGCAGGAGCGGCGGGGATTAGTCTAGCACTCAGAAAATCGGCAGATTAGGTAAGTATACCTTTGCTTTCTGAGTCGCTAGACAAAAACGAGCATTTAACCCATGCAGTATGGGCACAGCTGGGAGAATAGTAATTTTGCCTGAATTTCTTCTTTAAGAACCAGTAAGCTGCAATATATTGAATGGGTTTTTGGGGAGGAGTTAGTTCCCCTTTAAAGAATAATGTACAGTATAATTTATAATCTGACTTACACGACCACTTGGATTCTACCAAATTTCAACAAAACATTTAAATAGCATTAGAATGTTTGTCATGATCAGAGAGGGAGAAGGGAGAAGGGCACTGACATCCATGAGAGGCTGGTACAGTGTGTCTGTCATGCTGTGGTTCCTGGCCCTTGTAGCAGCCATGAATTTTTGTCTTGCTATTATGCCCTTTTTCTTCTTCTCCTTCTGGAGGGTGGAAAGTATATTTTGGACCTGCCGATGCACCCTTTTGTTTCTCTTACTCCTCAAGGGTGCGGAGCAGTAACTTTTTTACTGTACTGCTCATGCACCCTTTTGCTCCTACTTCTCTTCCTCAAGGGTGCAGAGCATCCACTTCCCTTTTAGTGCTGCTCCTGCACTCTTTTCCTTCTTTTTATCCACCAATCTCGCCATGTCCCCACCAACTGGCTATGAGGAGGAGGAAAAAGCCAGCCATAGATGGATCGAATCTCAGCCAATTCAGCAGGGACCACCTGAGATTCGATCCATCTATGGGTAAGCTATGGGCAGTCAATCCATCAAATTACTTAGATACAACCAGCCTGTTGGATTTTTTTCCATGTGATTACTGCTGACACTTATAGTCGGTAGCAGTAATCATTGTGTTCTGCAGGCTGGGGAGGCTCCCTGTCGGCAGGACACAATAGCACTGCTAGAGTTATTCCTCCATCAACACTGACTGTGCTGATGTGGGATCTGAGCGATTTTCTTTGGTTTCAGGAAAAACGATCTATTCATCTGTGGCTTGCCCAGGGGCGGACTGACAACTCATGGGGCCCCTGGGCAATAGGGGATCATGGGGCCCCCGTGTCCTTGCCCAAAGGTACCAGGGGCATCTCATGGGGCCCCCTACTGACCCAGGGCCCTCGGGCAGTGCCCGAGTTTCCAAATGGTCAGTCCGCCCCTGGGCTTGCCTATGTCTACTATGTGTCCAGGAGAAGAAAACGGGCCAGGAACTTTCTGATAAAATATATAGGAGGAATTGCAGGTCAAAGAACTTGGACAAATAAAAATATGGATACTATGTGCCCTTGAGTAGGAGCAAAAGGTTGCATTAACATGCCCAATAAAAATGTCTGCTGTATGCCGTTGGGGAGGAGGAACAGGAAATAGATGCATTAGCAGCACTCTAAAATAAGGTGACTGCTCTGTGTACCTTTTTCTTCTGGCTTGTCTCAATTAGGGTGCTGCTCCCTCCAAGCCCCTGCCTCATGCATGTGGTATTCAAATGTCTAGTACTTTTATCAAGCTTGATATGCTGCAAGAAGAGGCTGCAGACCACAGCAGGGCTGTTGGCAGTAGATATGTCAAAAAAGTCCTATATTTCAGAACATTTTCTTTTTGCTACCTATTCAAGTTGACTCGTACTGTCCGGACGCTAGCCATTTTCTACCAAACACATAACTGAAGTCTATATCTTTAATATTTTAGGAATAATTGGTTTAACTGTATAAAACGTTTAAGATAATGCATTGTGGTACTGATAAAAAAAAAGCTTGCAAACCTATTAAACGATTTTGCCATTAACCAATTTGTATGAAGTTGAAGGCTTTAGAGTAAACTCCTCTATAGAATAACAAACGCAAAAAAAGATACATAGGGGGCTTTAAATATGCACCCTAGGAAATATTAATTGACCATAAAAATAGTAATGTTATCTTAAAATATGTGCTTTTATGTACTGTTATGCAGTGGCCAAGTCAATCACCTGACCTGAATCCGATTGAGCATGCATTTCACTTGCTGAAGACAAAACTGAAGGGAAAATGCCCCAAGAACAAGCAGGAACTGAAGACAGTTGCAGTAGAGGCCTGGCAGAGCATCACCAGGGATGAAACCCAGCGTCTGGTGATGTCTATGCGTTCCATACTTCAGGCTGTAATTGACTGCAAAGGATTTGCAACCAAGTATTAAAAAGTGAAAGTTTGATTTATGATTATTATTCTGTCCCATTACTTTTGGTCCCTTAACAAGTGGGAGGCACATATGTAAAATGTTCTAATTCCTACACCGTTCACCTGATTTAAAAGTACATACCCTCAAATTAAAGCTGACAGTCTACAGTTAAAGAATAAGTATAAATCAGCACACATATATATATAAAATCCTCAAAAATCCCTTAAAGTCATATCAATATCCTTCCCCTGAAGTACTAATAAAATATATATTCATTGACTTAAACCCAAAAACCCACAATTATAGTGAAAAGATCAAAACCCAAAGAGATTACCCAAAAAATAAAAAATATCAAATATATATAAAAGAACAAAAATAAATAAAGTCCCAATATGCAAAGTGTCCAAATAATGTGTCCAAACAAAGATCAATTTCTTGATAGGAAGACGCTTCCTACTCCACTGAAGAAGATGCAAATCAATCCCAGGTGCTCTTCAAATACCTCAAAAAACAAAATCTCAACATAGTATATTACCTTTTAAATCCCAGAACTAAAGTGCCACACGTGTATCATGCAAAAAAAAAAAAAAAACCACTCCAGTGTCACAGCACTCATGTGAGAGAAAAAAAAAAAAAAAATTTTAAATATCACTGCAAACTATATATAAAGTGCATAATTACCCTAAAACAAACAAATTCCAGTTTGTAATCAACCACATATGTACAGAGTGTCCTTAGATTGGTATCCTCTTGTTCCTCAGGACCTCACAAACAGACCAGGAATCAGCATGTGAATTATAATCATATATAAAATTTATTGTAGCCACTTACATATAAAAACGATAAGATCAGCAAGACAGCATCCAACTCCTCATGCCCAGTATGCGATCCCCTTTCCGTGTGTAGAGGGTCTCCCGATCACCAGGTAATTCCCCCTTGCTACTCCTATCCAGCACTATCACTTTGTAGCTCTGGGGGACACCTGAAGTGCACCGTTACTCTCCAGACCTCCAACACACAGGGATTCCAGAATCCAAAATGGCTGCCGCAGCACTTCTGGGAACGTCACGTGCCCTGGACGCGTTTCGTCTCTTCTGGGCTTTGTCAACAAGGACAAAGTTGACTTGTTGACAAAGTCCAGAAGAGACGAAACGCGTCCAGGGCACGTGACGTTCCCAGAAGTGCTGCGGCAGCCATTTTGGATTCTGGAATCCCTGTGTGTTGGAGGTCTGGAGAGTAACGGTGCACTTCAGGTGTCCCCCAGAGCTACAAAGTGATAGTGCTGGATAGGAGTAGCAAGGGGGAATTACCTGGTGATCGGGAGACCCTCTACACACGGAAAGGGGATCGCATACTGGGCATGAGGAGTTGGATGCTGTCTTGCTGATCTTATCATTTTTATATGTAAGTGGCTACAATAAATTTTATATATGATTATAATTCACATACTGATTCCTGGTCTGTTTGTGAGGTCCTGAGGAACAAGAGGATACCAATCTAAGGACACTCTGTACATATGTGGTTGATTACAAACTGGAATTTGTTTGTTTTAGGGTAATTATGCACTTTATATATAGTTTTGCAGTGATATTTAAAATTTAATTTTTTTTTTTTTTTCTTTCACATGAGTGCTGTGACACTGGAGTGGTTTTTTTTTTTTTTTGCATGATACACGTGTGGCACTTTAGTTCTGGGATTTAAAAGGTAATATACTATGTTGAGATTTTGTTTTTTGAGGTATTTGAAGAGCACCTGGGATTGATTTGCATCTTCTTCAGTGGAGTAGGAAGCGTCTTCCTATCAAGAAATTGATCTTTGTTTGGACACATTATTTGGACACTTTGCATATTGGGACTTTATTTATTTTTGTTCTTTTATATATATTTGATATTTTTTATTTTTTGGGTAATCTCTTTGGGTTTTGATCTTTTCACTATAATTGTGGGTTTTTTGGGTTTAAGTCAATGAATATACAGTCTACAGTTAAAGCGCATCTTGTTTGTTTCATTTCAAATCCATTGTGGTGGTGTATGGAGCCAAAAATGTTAGAATTGTGTCGATGTCCCAATATTTATGGACCTGACTGTACATTCAAAAGCTCAAAACATCCCCAATACAATATATCCAGGGGCGGACTGACCACTTGTAAACTAAGGCACTGTCTGAGGGCTTGGGATCAGTAGGGGGCCCCATGAGATTCCCCTGGTGCCTTTTTCATAGGCTTTTTTGAGTTTGGGCAAGGACACAGGGGCCGCATGATCCCCTATTGCCCAGGGGCCCCATGAGTTGTCAGTCCGCCTCTGAATGTTTCACATTCAGTCTATGCGTTTTGTGTTTGTTCCGCTTCTTCAGGACTGGGGACATGCTTTCACCTAAATCCTGACAATAAGCTATGATCCATCTACAAATATAAGTAAATAAATAATCATAACCAAAAACTATAACCAAAAAGCGTAACCAAAATAATACATATACATATCAAATCCTCTGTCCATCACACCATAATGTGAAAAAAAGGGGAAAAGGCAAAATCAGTACAGTCAGTACAGGAATCACTGCTTGCAGGCAGCAAGGTACTATGGGATATATAGTCCTTAGAACTTGAAAGTAATCAGCAGAAAAGAAGCATGCAGGAAATCCAGGAAGTTGTGAAAAGGGATGGCCAGCAGACAGGCCGAAGTCACATGACATGAATAGGGCCAGCAAAATAAAGTTTTATCTGTCTCAAAAAAATGCTAAAAAATATGGGTACAGTGTTGCATGACCGCACAATTATCATTCAGAGTGTGATAGCGCTGAAAGCTGAAAATTGGCCTGTACAGGAAGGGGGTGAAAGTGTCCAGACTTGAAGTGGTTAAAAAATGTTCCTTCATTTATGAAAAAAAATTATTTATTTGCTAAATTTTATTAGAAAAACACTTTTTTGGGACATTGGGATTTTTATTTTTTTTTGCTATATAAATGAAAAAGTCCAAAACATTTTTTAAAAAAGTGTTTTTCTTATACAATTTTGAAAATTAATAATTTTTCTTCATAAATCTTGGCCAAAATGTATACATCTATCTTTTTTTAAAAAAAAATAACCCAAATTAGTTTATAACCAAAAATTATAATTTTTCAAAAAACATTTTTACATTTTTAATTTATTTTTTTTATATTATTATTTATGTTTTTGTTTGTTTTTCACACTTTCACCCTAGCAGTATAGTGTCACCATAGTGACACTGTACTACTTGTAGGGGGTAATGAAGATTTTTTTTTTTTTTTTACACTGATTGCTTTTACACCTATAAAGGCTATAAAAGCAATCATTTTTCTCCTTCTCTCTGGCTGCATTCTTGTAGCCATTGATAAATACTGTGTAAGCTGTGATCGGTCACAGCTTGTCACATGGTACAAGGCTGTTGTGAATAACCATGTGACTTCTGTGATCATTCACACATTTCACATATAGTAAGCAATGATGTCAGAAGTGACATCTTGCTTACTACTCTTCATGTGGCCAATCAGTGATCACAGGATCGGGACCTCGCACAGAGGTACAACGATCGGTGTTCCACTGTGTCTGGAGGACACAGCGGGCACCGTATTGCGATGCTGCATGCTCTCAGGGAGCGCTCACAAGCAGGGAGACCATTTATAAATGGCCACCTGCCTCTGCACTGCTCCCATCCGGCCATTTTGTAGATGGGCCGGACGGGAATTGGTTAAGTAAGCTTATATTGGATTGTTCATTCACCAACAGGCCCCCACTGCTGAGTGAGTGAGAGAGAGCTCTTAGCATCAGTCAGCTCACATATTTAAGGCATGTGCACAGATAAGATTTGGATACCAGGTAAGATGTGGACCAAGGAAACGAGGATTATTCCCACCCAATGCTCTACAAAGCCTTCAGGCTCCAGGACCTAGGGCAAAGCATATTAAGATTCTGAAAAAACAAGTTTGTTTTCTTCATATCATGTAAAGGTGGGAAAAATATGTGACATACTGTAAACACACCATCCACAATCCTGCTAGCCAGTACTTTACAATATATACAAACTATGTATGAAAACAAGTGTAGGGATCCACTGCCCTCTACTGTCTGAATTTGTAAATGCCTGTAAATATATTATGTATGCACTTCTTGTCCCTGGGGTGTTGGCTTTGAAACCCCAGAAGGAGGAAGTGGAAAGAGAGAGAAAGTCCCAGTTACATGTTATGTTCAAGGTGCAAAATCATGGACCAGAAGACACTATTGCGCAAGCATTCCTATGATCTAATAGTTCTCTTATTTACCTACAGGTTTAGTGCAATATTCTGTTTGGGGAGGACCATTGCTTATAACCCCCCACCAAAACAGAGGGCTGCTTATGTTGTTTAAAACATAAATTCCATCTCTAAAGGGCATTTAAAGGCAAAATGTAACAGGCAGTAGTAGTAGGTAAAAGCACTCACCTTAAAGTGTTACTAAACCCAGGACCCTGCATTCACTATATCTGGTCTCCCACAGTACACAGAACATGGAAATGCAATTATTTTAGTAAATATATTCTGCTAAATACCTTTTCTCATCAGCAGTTAGAGCAGTCTTGTGACTTCAGCAGAGCACTGGTTAAAGCTTGTAGGAGGAGTTTTCTTTCTGCTCTAGGAAGATGTGAAACCCCCTGACCCTCTGTCTGGACAGTGCTGATTGGCCCTGTACTGATTACATGCACTCTCCAAAAAAAAAAACCTCTCTAGCAATACACACCAAACTGAGCATGTGTATGTGACCATGTATTCAGTTATGGCTGCAATCTTTCTTGGTCTACCTGACCTTGGCTTGGTATCCAGAGATCCCCGAACTTTCCACTTCTTAATAGGTGATTTAACAGTACTGATTGGCATATTCTAGGCTTTGGACATCTTTTTATGTCCTTTTCCATCTTTATAAAGGTCCATTACCTTGTTACGCAGGACTTTTGACAGTTCTTTTCTGATTCCCATGGTTTAGTATCTAGCCTAGTCAGTGCTTCCACATAAGGGCTAACAAACACATTGACTATTTATACACTGACACTAGTTGCAATTTAAAAAGCCACAGATGTGGGACATTAACCTCTAATTGGCATTTTAACTCATGTATGTCACCTTGTGTGTCTGTACGAAGGCCAAACATTCCAGGGTATGTAAACTTTTGATCATGACAATTTGGGTGATTTCTGTTATCATTATGCTTTAAAAATGAGCCAAACAACTATTTGATAATAAATGGCTTCATATGATCATCCTTCAAAAAAGCATATTTTGGCATGATCAGTCATATTTTCAATATCAATGCCAGAATTTCACAATTTCTGCCACGGTATGTAAACTTTTGAGCACAACTGTATGTAGACCATCTACTGTATGTGTTATGGTATACTACAATGAGAAAATGCTGTAGATATGTTAATACCAATTTATAATTAATGGGCTCCCTTACCAATGCACAATGTGAAATAGCTTTCACTGGGCCTTTAGAGGTGATACAAACTTTCCAACTTATCTATTCACATTCATACAATTTCATCTGATTTCTAAGAATACATTTGATGCTACATGAACCCAAATACATTGAAGGCTCCAAGCACACTGGCCTTAAAAAATGCCAGTTCCCTTGGCAGAAAAAAAATGCTGATATAGTGTGTTTTTGTACAGAATTTAGGCGAATTTAGCAGTTTTTTCTGCCTCTAATCATCCTAATGTGCATGGACACTAAGGACTGTTCAGTTTTGTAAAAAAACAAATTAATTCTGCCATTTGCTTTAGAGCCATTGTTTTCTATATTGATCAAGCATTAGGCCTTTGTAATGTTGAGGCATTTTTCCTACTTATCTATTTGTGAATTATCTACGTTCCCTCTGAGATTTGGCACTTTCATGCAGCCTTCCCTGGAGTAACATCTGACAACCAACAGACTGGTCATCGAATGCTCCAGTATCTCCTGCAGCTTAAAAGTAGTTTGCACATATACTCACTGGCAGGGGCAGACTGACCATTTGGAAACTCGTGCATTGCCCGAGGGCCCGGGGTCAGTAGGGGGCCCCATGAGATGCCTCTGGTACCTTTTTCATAGGCTTTTTTGAGTTTGGGCAAGGATACAAGGCCCCCATGATCCACTATTGCCCAGGGGCCCCATGAGTTGTTAGTCCGCCCCTGCTCACTGGCCACTTTATTAGGTACACCTGTTCAATTGCTTGGTAACAAAAATTGCTAATCAGTCAATCACATGGCAGCAACTCAATGCATGTAGACGTGGTAAAGACAACTTGCGGAAGTTCAAACTGGGCATCAGAATGGGGAAGAAAGTGGATATAAGTGACTTTGAATGTGGCATGGTTGTTGGTGCCAGATGGGCTGGTCTGAGTATTTCAAAAACTGCTGATCTACTGGGATTTTTCACGTACAACCATCTCTAGGGTTTACACAGAATGATTCAAAAAAGAGAAAAGTGAGCTGCAGTTACGTGGACGAAAAAGCCTTGTTGGTGCCAGAGGTCAGAGGAGAATGAGCAGACTGGGTGCTGCGACTTTCAGATGGTAGGGTCGGAATTTGACATAAACAACATGAAAGAATAGATCGATCCTGTCTTGTATCAATGGTTCAGGCTGGTGGGTGTGGTGTAATGGTGTGGGGGATATTTTCTTGACAATAGCAAGGTGTATCTAAGTGGCTTGTGAGTGTATATTGTATTGAGTGTATATGTAGTGCAAACAGTTTGGCCCCTTTCACATGGATGTTCTGATCGTGTCCGCTTACCCGTTTTTTAGGCAGACCTGATCGGAACCTCCATTTTTCTACTGTATATGGAGAGACTGGTGTAAACGGACATCCAATCCGATTTGCCAAAAAGACGGATGGGGATCCATTCCCCTTCTGTCCATCAGATGGCAGTCAAATGAAAATGGACAGGCAGTCTGTTTCCATCCAACTGCTCATAGAGAACAGCGGGCTGTGTCCGTGTCCATTCTGTGCAAGCGGAGCAGATATGGACCTGTCATTCGCTTGTTCAGTGGGGATCAGCAGATGGATCCCCTGCTGAGCAAGCGGATCCAATGACGGGTCCACCCTATGTGAAAGGGAGCTAACCAGGTTGTCCAGAGTGGAGTAACCCATAGCAGCTAATCAGAATTCAACCTGCCGAATTCAGCTATAACTGTTTTCTGGTTGTGATGAATTACTGCTCTTTGCACATCATTTGTGCTCTGCACTAAATATCACTTCTCCTTTGGTTAGCAAGTGATGGAAGTCTGGGAAGCAGTATATCACTCAACAGCACAGGGAGAGCTGAGCCAGGATAGGGAGAGAGACATTTTCCTGAAATTGCACAAGTTTGGGAGATCAACATTTCCAAGTATTCTCTACTGAGCTGTGGATTGGGGAATGAGGTGCAAGAGCACTGCAGAGCTAGCAATGGAGACAAGCTACATTTCCAAGGATCCTATAATTTTTAGATATTCAGTAGGTAGAGAGTAGGTAGAGAGATATACTGTATACTTTCAGTAGAGCAAAGAGATGGAATAGGCTATGGTATGCTTGGAAAGAATATTTCCAGGAACACTGAATTGCTGAGTCTAGACTGGAGATGTACAACATCTCCTGAAATGCTGGTACTGAGCTGGGGGTGGAGGAGCACTGATGAATTTGAAACATGGAACTTTTCCGGGGACATTGAGGTCATAAACAGGAATAATGCAATAGCTTACATTACTGTACAGTTAACAGGTGCATGTTTTCTAGTTAAAGTATTTACAGTAAATCAAGGTATATTTTCTACCTAACATTCATAAGTACAGAGATGTTTTCTTGGTGAATGCAATGTGGGGAAATGAAAGGAAACATCTGTTTGGTTGCTCTGGGGAACATAATTAGTTCTTTATTCACTTTGATAAATAAGACATCTTACTCTTAACATTGATTATTAAACATTGATTTTTTTGTTGAAGTAGAAGGCAATAAAACGTAGGTTAAATAATCATATAAAAAAAATTAAACATCACTACATCACAGGGTGACATGACTCACAATGAATTTACACTGTGGGACATTTCAAAGAGTGTGCACTTATTTACCCTTTGCAAATCAGTACCCTGTAAGTATTCATTTGTAGAGGGTTATTTGGGGGGCTTCCAGTTTTCAATAAGCATCCCTCCTGCAGACCCTCACAACCACCAGGCCAGGATTGTGGGGAGGAGGCCTTTGTCCTCCTCAACCCCGGGGAAGGTACCAAACCCATTTTGAGGGGTTTTTGCCTGGTATGGTTCAGGAGATGGGAACACATGTCACCCCTCCTTTACCTTTACTAGCCAGCCAGGCTGCATGCTCGGACAAGGATTTGGTATAAGTTTTTTTTGGGGGGGGTTGCCTTTTTTTTTTAATGTTTAGTTCCCCCTTAGAATTCATACAAGATATATGCAATTTATTACAAAGAAACTGTCAGGCAAGT